CGCCACACGCTGCGCAACCTTTCCCCCTCTTCCTTCCTTAGCGGTGTGGGGAGGAGAGGATTCGAAGATCCTCACGTGCGGCGTACTTTTCTTTTTCTTTTTCTTTTTTTCTTTTTGTACGCAGGTTTTGCATGCGGGCGGCTGTAGGTTAAGAATGGGGGAGCCCCCGGGTGGGTTATCAGGTTTTACGGTGCTTCCAACATGTGCGAACGGTGGGAGAGCGGAGAAGAGAGCGAGCGAGCGCCCCGCTGTGTGAAATCCTGCCGTCAAAGCAACACTGGGGGAGGCAGGGTATAAATTTACCAGGTTAATGTAGTAATGGTGATTAATGCCCAGAACATTGTTTGCGGGTATTGGGGTGTGTGTGTGTGTGTTGGTGGTGAGGAGAGGTTGTCCTTTGAATGCGGAAAAGTAGGTGTGACCTTGTGTAGGAAAATAAAGAGATCCTTTTTAGCGTGTTTGGCTTCTTTGCCTCCCCTCGTTCGTTTTGACGTGGAGATAATGGCCTTCGGGCGGGAGGGGAAGAAAACGGTAGCTGGATCATTTCAAATTTCACTTACTCTCCTGCCTCACTTCAATATGTCTGAGCGACTCCAGATACTGGAAGACTTTTTGAATGAAAGTGTTACCTCCATTTTTTTTTTTTTAAAGAGGGCCACTTGGGGAAAAAAAAGATTCTAAGGAATTCCTTGTTTCTTGATTAAAGAGAAGGCATTGAATATACTGTTCCTTGGCAGCCTTTTCAGTGTCCGGGTTTTTGGTGTGTGTGTGTGAGAGAGAGAGAGAGAGAGAGAGAGAGATCAGCTGTATTGAGAAGAGAACGTTTCCTGTGTTCTCATTTTATTTACAACATATTTTACGCTTAATGGTAAGCAATGAAAAATATTTTTAAAACTCATTTCTAAACTCCATAGCTATTTGCATATTCTTGGTTCAAAATTGGATTAGCTCATTTCAAAATTGTCCAAAGCAGAAAAGTGCGTCAAAAAAAAAAAAGTGCAAAAGTGGAAGGTGTGTGGAAGAGGGGGTAGTCTTATACGGCGAGTATATAACAAACTCTATATTTTGAGTGGAAATGTTGGGGGGTCGTCTTATACGCCCAGTCGTCTTATACGCCGGCAAATACGGTATATACTTATACCTATTATCTTGTAAGCGTTTGACAAATCAAAATAAATAAATAAATAAAATAAATATTTGTAATAATAGACTAAATAGATTAAAAATTATTTTTAAAAAAAATGCTGCACCCCAGTTCTAGTCACCTTCTCCACTGAATTTGCTTTACTTTTTTAGCTTTTCAAACATCAAGAGCTTTTACATTATCCAAGATTTTATTTAATCTTGTTGGCTTAGATGTTGCTTTCCTCTTTTTATTTTGATATTTATTTAATTTTTTGTCCTCAGTTGAGGAGTACAAATGGATTCAGCATGAACTATCCAAGGTAGCATTTTGTCCTTTTTTATTGTGGCTTTGAGAATCAGCTGCTTCAGTAAAGCAAATACATAATTTAATTACTGAGAATCAATGCAATTAAATCATTGAACAATTGGACTCCATTTTAAGAGCTGTTTTCCTCTTCCTTTCACAGAAAGTGGGTTTTAATTTGTAGAACTCTTATTATGGGCCATTTGCCTGATTTCATTCACAATATAGTACTTACTGGTTATTTAAGAGAAAGGAGAAAAAGAAAATAGGAGTTGTTTTAAAAAAAATGTTCACATGAAAATCCCACCTACAAACATTTTAACTCACTTCAAAGTAAGATCTTGAGAGACTCACTATGTCAAACTTGAAGGAGTTTTTTTTTTTTAAATAATTGTTTGTTTGACACATTTCTTCATTCTATAAGTCCAATTAGTTTCAGGGTGAAACTGTATATTTAACTAGACATGATGCAAATCCCTAATCAACACTATAGTATCTGAGGGACACATCAGTTCAAGTTGATCTGGACAATATCGCTAACTTTCTACCATAGACCATCTGATTTTTTTTTCCAGACTAGCACAGTTTTCTTTTCCATCATGCTCAAAATATTTGAATAAAAAGCATCCTGCTCTTGATTACATACCTGTAGTCAAAAAAAGAAAATAGAGATGAGAACCTCTTTTCTATCAGTAGAGTGCTCAGAGTAACCTGCCACCTTTATGCCTTGTAAAAAGAATGTGTGAATGCTGTGTTTTTTCATCATATGGGGACTGAACGAGAAAAGGATGTGATTTTGATTACAGTTAAATTCTTGTTTAGTAACCTTCACTGGGACAAGCAACTTGGTCTTTAAGTGAAGCAGTCATTAAATGAAATAACAACTTACTTATTATACTTTTCTTTGTTTTACAGACCTGTGAAGGTCATAAATGCAAGGATTGATCGTAATGATTTTTTTCATCACTATCCTAACTTTGAACAATCACTAAATGAGGCACAATCAACACTAGACAGTAAACAAGGACTAGCTGTATATCTGTCAATTAAATAACAATTAGAACAACAGATGATGAAAAGAACTATAGATCACTGTCTCATTTTTTGTTGTTCTCCAGAAATATATTTACAGTGTTCAGCATTTCCAAAACTTTAGACGAGTAGATCACTTTTTAAAATCAGAATTAGGAACAATGTTTCTCCCTCTGATCCCAAAAGCTTTGGTCTTTAATTTTTGTGCCTCAAGATTCTTAAGTTTCCTAGTGATTGTATATTATCTAGGTAAATCTAAATAGCAGCCTGTCTATCTTCAACAGGACTTCCTTCATATTTTCCCTAAGAGATTATGTTGATTTAACCCATCCATCCACCCACTCTCTTTGCTTTTGGATGTATGACATGCTTCCAGGAAAAAGGATGCTTGACGGACACTAGAGACATGCAATCTGCATCCGGCATGCCTCAAAATAATTAAAAAGGTTGACGTGTGGTGGATATTTAAGACAAGCAGTTTCAAAGCACCCTTCTAATGTCTGGGTAATGTTTGGAGAATAATCTCCTGGAGAATTTCACCATGAACAAATTATAAGCCCATAGATGTCATATTTGTAAGATAAGATAAGAAATTATTTTATTTTACATTATCATTCTACTTTGAACATTTAGTTGTCAGTAGGTAGGTCAGTAGTGCAGTCTTATGCCATTTTAACCAGTTTGATAAAAGGATTTGGGTTTGCAATAATGGAAAGGGTTGTTTTTGGGGGAAAGGGATATTTTATTTTGATTTGGGTTTTTTTCTTCCTAAATGATTATTTAATATGGCAGATTGTAAATTAGCAAAATATATGTTTTGAAATCTCCCAGTTGCAACAACAACATACTGAAATATGCAATAGATAAAAATAGATGATAGATAGATAGATAGATGATAGATGATAGATGATAGATAGATAGATAGATAGATAGATAGATAGATAGATAGATAGATAGATAGATAGATAGATAGATAGATAGATAGATAGATAGATAGATAGAGAGGGGGGGGTATAGATACCATTAGAGATAGAGAAAGAGATCGAGATCGAGATTTAGGTGAATAAAAAACCTATGCATGTAAGCAAATTAAATTGTCATAAATACAAAATTGGAAATTTCTTAGCAACAAGATCTTATCAGCCTGCTTAAATGTTGCTCAAATGGACTACTGGACATTTCTGGCTGTTCAGACCATATACACATTGTCTACCATTCTTCTCATTCAGGATGTGGTACAGCTTAGCAATTGCTTACATTTATATATTGAGGAGATATATTTTTATTGTTGGAAGATGTAGATAGACTACATTATGCCACAATATTATTATCAGACCAAGATCCTGAAGCAGATGTCATAGTTCAGGGGTGTCAAACTCACAGCCCACAGGCCGGATACATCATGCACTGGAAAGTGAACCCCCAGTTTAGTGAAGGGGGGTGGGAAGTCATAATACATCATGTGACAACAACGTGACGCCACGAGTTTGACACCCCTGTCATAATTGAATCAACAGGAGAACCAATAGCAACATCAGGATTATCTTATCACATGTGTTACTTGTTTATCATATGAGACATTAGAATATAGATTACATGTAATTTGTTCCATTCTCTCCCTATCTCTCCTCTTTCCTTCCCACAGGTAGACGTAGGCGTTCTCCGCTTTGTATCTGCCATTGGGACTCAGGGAGCCATCTCCAAAGAAACTAAAAAAATGTATTTTCTGAAAACATACCGAGTGGATATCAGCTCCAATGGAGAAGATTGGATATCCATTAAAGATGGGAACAATAAACCTTTGGTAATATTTTTTTATCTGTACGATGTTCTTGACTACTTATGGATTTATAAAGTTCTATATTTAATTACATTTATCAGTAAAAGGAGTCCCTGCGGATTTTACTCCACTGGTCACTGCCGATTGCATATGACGGTGCACATCATTGTTTTAAGGCCATTAAGCTAGTGCTGTCCAAAAACATTTCCATGGTCATGTGGCCAGCATGACATCATGGACTGCTTCCCACCAAAGTAGTATCTATTTGCTTACTTGCGTTTGTACGCTTTTCAGGAGCTGGGGTGAGAACACGTGGTCATCCCATCATGTGGTGCTCAGGTTTTGAGTCACAACACTGCCCTTAAGCCACCACGCTGCCATGGTTATCACTATTTTAAACAAATACTGGGTACTTGAGGATCAATTATACTTATCCCTATTGGTCATTTTACTAATCAGTCAAAAGTAATGAGAAAATAAAATAGCCCAAACATTTATGTTTTTTTCTTGCTATGGCTGTATCATTCATTAGTAACTTATAGGCATAAGAATGACAGAGTAATTCTATAATAAAATGCTTCATTGCTGGAGCATGGAAAGCAAGATTAAAATTCACCAAAATGAAACATTTTTAAATCCATTAATTGTAATTGTTTATATTTAAATGCTTTCCCCAGCTAAACATCCTTGTCTGGATTATGTCTAATTTTATTAAATTTTAGGAGGTTTTTTTTGAGATTCACAGATTTGTTTCTCACTTCTGTTAGACTGCAGATGGTTTTTAAAAATCTATGCAATATAATATATATCATACCCAGTAAATGTCTGGGTAAGCATGAATAAAAGACTCATGTGTTTCCCAGTTAATTATGACTCCTCAATATGAAAATATTGAAGAAGTCTACAGCAGTGGTCCCCAACCACCGGGCCCCGGACCGGTACCGGTCCGTGGATCATTTTGTACCGGGCCGCCTATTTTGCTTGGGTGCCGCCATCTTGTTTCGACGGCGCTTGAGAAAGTGCTTCCGGGTGAGCTTGTCGGTCGTCGGTTGGAAAGCGGCGTTTGGGTGCTGAAAGAATCCTCGTGCCTTAGTTTCGTTGAGGGGGGGGCGGCTTCAAACGAAGAGCCGTCCTGATGGTGGTGGAGTCCAAAGGAGGTACAAAGGAGGAGTTGAAGGTGGCGGGGAGAAGTGGGGGGCGGCTGGCTGTCCGGTCACTCGGCTCGCCTTGCCTTGGTCATGCGTGCTGATGCTGGTACCGGTCCGTGGATCGGTCCGTGGATTGTACCGGTCCGTGGTACAAAAAAGGTTGGGGACCACTGGTCTACAGAATGGTATCAACTCAAAGTCCTCATTTTCACCAAATTAGTGTCATGTATATTTGAAGTTATGCATTGGTGCTTGCTTGTCTTCTATTTTGTCAACAAATAGCAATCTTTTAAAAACTGAAGACAAAGAAATGCTGCATTGAAATGTTACATCAGAGGGATATATTGTCCTCGATTTGCCCTAGGTTCCATAATATTTTGCAAAATTGGTCAGTCAAAATTTCGTACATTTTCCCCAGAAATGCCTTATTTAATTTGGAAATACCTTAAAAGTCTTACACAAACCAATCTTTGTACTTCTGCTGCACTTCCTTTATCATGGATAACAGATAACCACTTGACTGTTTCATCCTGTTTGTCTGAAAGACAGCCAAACTTTACCACAGGCCTTGGCCTAACTTTCCTGTGCAATTAATATTAATAAGTTAAACAGATGGTTGGTACTAAATAGAGTTAATGTTTGCAAGAGATTCCTGCTGATCTTCCATTACTACTTCCTTCCCATTAAAAAAAACAACAGAAAGAGTAATTTTTAGCAAGACTATTATGAGGGGAAGGGAGACAATAATGTTTTAATTGTCCCAAAATGGAGACATTGATATTTCTAGCTGTCCACTCCCAAGAAAGTATAAACAATTGAACAATTAAAACCCATTTATAATGGATAAATAGCAGCTAAAATCATTACTCAATTTATTGTATTTTAGCTACTTACATGCATAGGTTTAAATGACATGGTCAACTTCCTTTACTATATTCTGCTCTAAGAAAATACAAAGCAGGAAAGTTGAGGAAAGATTTAAGAAATTTCTGTCCAACAACGGAAAAATGCCTAACATCAGGAAATTGAGACTTTGCATTGTCTAATGGAAAAGGAAATTAGTCACCTTCCTTGAACTTAGTCAATGGAGAATTTGACTTTGTTATAGACGTTTTCTTGTCTGGGTTGTAAAAAGCCAGACAAGAGCAAAAAAATTCCTAAATTTGTTTGTTTGTTTGTTTAAAACATTTATATAGTGATCCATCTTCTAACCAACTCTGGGCAACTCCCAATCAAAAGCTAAACAAAAAAATAAAGTCATACCAAAGTTATAAAACTAAACATTAAAACATTAAAATATATCTTTGCTTCCATCTAATAATCTTCTGGATTTTTGCATCCTAAATATGCATCCTATTATAATACATCTTTCTTAACAGAGCAGAGTAGATATTATCAGTCTTTGAATGCCTTTCTTTATTGTTTAGAAAAAAATATAAGTATTGAAACATAGAAAAATAGAATACTTAGATTATTCTTAATATTGGAAGTATCATAAGAAAACTTTGTATTGGAATTATTAAGAAAACAAGGTAGTCTCACCTTCAATGAGTCAAAACAAGATACCCTCATCTTCAATGAGTCAAAATTTGTGTCCTTAGCAGTACAAATCTTAATCCAGCTGTGTTTTATTCTATAGTTCAATATTGTCTAATATTTTATTAAATATTAGTAAAAATTGTCAGTTAAAAGTTACCATACGGAACTGCAGGAATTCAGTATCCTATATTTACTCTGGATTATCCTTTTCTTCTGTGGGAGTCTGATCATTTTTGGATTTATAATTATTACTATCAATGTTATCAATAAAAATAATTTCTTTTTGCATTATGACTTGTATATTTATGTGAGTAAACAAACACAGTTCAGATATTTTTAAGGAATCTCTTAAATTTTTTCTCTTTTTATAGCTATTCATGGGGAACACCAATCCAACTGAGGTTGCTTATAGATCTTTTCCCAAGCCAGTTCTGACACGTTTTATTCGAATCAAGCCTGTAAACTGGGAAACTGGAATATCACTGAGATTTGAAATCTATGGCTGTAAAATTACTGGTAAGAACTATGAAGAGTTTACCTTATTTATTTTTTTAAAAAAAAGATTGGTTATCAAGACCGACTCGCACTTTTATCTATATTCCGCTTAACTCGCAACTTGACAAAGAAAAGGGAAGGGGTGGAATGGAATGCAAGAATGGGGAGAATGACATTCAAATGTAATTGGTTCCCGTGAGATGTTGCTCCCCTCCTCAAGGACATTCCAAATAGATGTCCCAGTGTGGGCAGCTGGTTCCCATAACAAACTGAATAGAAGTTATTAGTGGACATAACAGACTGTGTTTGGCCTGTGGAAAAAGGGGGGATTAACTATGCTTATTTTTTTGCGGGAAGTTCAGAGTTGGTTTCGCTTCTTCTGTGCCAATGTGGTCTATTCAGTAAAGTTTATACTCTTGGTAAGATAATGACTCAGGAGTTCTTTTTTCTGGATTTACCAGCTGGACAGTTGTCAGTGATACCATTATATATTTCCAGGTAAATAATTCTTAGTTATCTTAAAAAAACAGAAAATTATTGAGATTTTCTGTTTTTTCATATGTACAAATCAGTAGTTGTCTTTTGAGTTCCAACCACATTAAAATGTTAATGTTAGCACTAGGAAAATATTTTAAAAAATAACTACACATATAATGTGTATGTTTTCATAAGATGTTTTATAAGGTTTAGGTCAGGGGTGTCAAACTGGATTTCTTGGAGGGCTGGATCAGCATTGTAGTTGTCCTCCACGGGCCAGCTGGCAAGGGGGGGAGGAAAAGATGGGATAGACGCCCTCCTGCAGCATCCTGCCAGCCAAAATGGAACCTCGGGGTCTGGGGGAAGCCCCTGCATGACCTGTTTTCAGCCTGGATGGCCTCCTGCAGCACCCTGCTGGCCAAAATGAGGTGTGGTGGACCGCAAGCAACCCCCACGTGCCCCATTTTTCACCTGGGCAGCCTCCTGCGGTACCCTGCCAGCCAGTGATGGGATTCAAAAATTTTTACTACAGGTTCTGTGGGCGTGGCTTGGTGGGCGTGGCAGGGGAAGGATACTGTAAAATCTCCAGTCAGAGGTGGTATTTGCTGGTTCTCCAAACTACTCAAAATTTCCACTACCGGTTCTCCTATCTGGTTAGAACCTCCTGAATATCACCTCTGCTGTCGGCCAAAACACCCACCTCCTTGGTGCCCCATTTTCGCTAGCAGAGGCACCACTGGCCAGTCCTTTGCTATTTCCACTGAGCAGCCACTAGATGGAGTAAACACCTACTCAAAAAAGTTGATTCTGTTGCCATCTAGGATTTTTCTGAATTTGTACAGACTAAACATGCAGAAATATGCAGAGTACTTGCAATACACGAAGGTCCATGAAACCAAATGCTAACTTTGTGAATTAAGAAATGAAACCATGTAAATAATAACCACATCCATACAAATGAATAATTCAGAGGCCACTACAATATCTCAATGTTTATCCATTTCTATAACAAAAAAGTTAACATTAGATAGAATCAATCATTTATCCTATCTTACATAAGAATAGAATAAATAATTTAGTTACTAATTTCTTTTCAAATCAAACAAGTCCAACGCTTTGAAGATAATGCATACAGAAGATTAATGAAAATGATTAAAATGTTTCTGCTAGTCTACCTATCATCTAGAATACTTCTTCTTGTAAGATCTTCCAATTCAGTTATATGGACAACAAAAAATAAAGATTTTGTTGCATATGGATGCTATACACCCCCTTATGTCTGAATGAATGCAGAAATGTACGTTTTTACTTGTCATATCATCTGTTATAATGATATGTGTGTTCACGTTGCATTATTCAGATAAAGAGGGTGTTTTAGAAGCAAGGAACAAGCACATAGATTAATTAAAAGAAAAATTTACTAGCAGGTTAATTTTATCTTTCTAACTAAAATAAAATCCATTAATCTAAACTATTTCATTAATCAGATTAATTGCATATTTCAAAACTGTTGCAAGCATATTTTCCAGTGTTTCTGTCTTTCCAGAAAGAAACAGCTTTGATTAGGAAGGAAACTAACAGGAAGAGGTGAATGGATAGATTGAGGAATATGGTACAAATGACATAATCTATTTTTATCAAACAATGTAATCAAAAATTTAACACAATGCAGTTAGCAGCAAAAATACTCAAGAAAGAAAAAAAACATCAATCTCAAATATCTTCATTAATACTAAGAAGTTCTACCTTCCAATTTCCTGAAAATATTCTACCAATTAAAGAAACTTCTGATTTGGAAGGGTTTCCTCTTCCTCCACCTATTTTTGGTCCTTTCAGAGTGCTTTGGAATTACTTTTGAATTTGTCCTGGTGAATCAACTTACATTTGAATCAACGTCATCCTTGTAAATTGGCCAAATATTTTATTGCTATTGGCTATTGTTCCTTCAACACACCATTCAATTACTATGTAACCCTCTTGGCTTATGATCTGTACCTTACTGATGGCCAAACACAAATCTCTGGTTTGTTTATCTGGAGTGAAGGTCAATCAAACGTGCATAGTCGAGGAAAGTGGAAATGTATCACTTTATTTATGATCAGGGCTTCTTCTGTTGAATTTATCAATAGCAAAAGCAAAAAAGTAAGAGGAGCTTTAAGTAAAGATTGTGTTCTATTTTTATACCCCTAGCCAAAAGAGATTCAAAGCAGAAGTTCAAACATTGGTTATAAATTTCTTCCTCATTTTCTAGATTGTGCATGCAACTATATGTGTTTGCCAAGTTTTCCTTAGCATGAGCTAGTTTTTAGCTTGAAAATAATTATCTCCAGAGTTTCATCTGGACACATACCCCCACCACTGTGCCCTAGCCCAAGCTTAATATCACGTTGCCTTCTTTGTTCCAGCAACAGGTTTATTACAAGTTTCTATATGCTTTCCAAACCACATCCTGTGTATCTAGCTATAGTTTCTCTGTGGGTCTGTTTTTAGGATTCCTTATCAAGGGCATAGGTCTTGTTCTGGTATAGATAAGCCGTGGTACTTCCATGTTCTGAGTTTCTATGCAGACAAGATGAAAATAAACAGAAAATAATATGTTCCTTTTTAAATGAAGTGCTTTCAAAGTTGGAATTTGGGGTCTCAGGGCAACATTCCCCCCCACCCTTTTTTTCAATAAAATTGAATGAGAATGATTAAAATTTGCAGAAGAATGTTTTGGCTCATCATTCAAAAAAAGAGTTGGCCAAGCCTAATGAGTCAATCTACAAATCTGTTACACAAGATTCTCAAAATGTGTCTTATTGGCTATTCTGTTTTACTTCACTCAATAATAACAATAGCAATAGCTCTTAGACTTATATACTGCTTCACAGTGATTTACAACCTTCTCTAAGAGGTTTGCCGAATCAGCCTGAGTCCTCATTTTACCAACCTCTGAAGGATAGAAGCCTGAGTTAACCTTGAGCCTGGTGAGATTCGAACTACCAAATTGCAGGCAGCTAGCAGGCAGTGGAAGTGGCTGCAGTACTGCTTTCTAACCATTGTGCCACCAAGGCTCATAATACACTTCTCTGTAGATGATGGTAGCAAGCTGATAAAAAGAATGATAAAAAATAGTTAACATATGAGCAGTCAAACTATTCAGAAGTACTATGCATATGGATATTGTAGGGATGTATATATAAACCATTTATTTACTTTCCTTTGCTTTGGTTTAGATTATCCTTGCTCTGGCATGCTGGGTATGGTGTCTGGGCTCATCACTGACTCTCAGATTACAGCATCAAATGAATTGGATCGGAATTGGCTTCCAGAAAATGTCCGTCTTATAACAAGCCGTATAGGATGGGCACTGCCACCCCCGGTTGGTCATACATATACAAAAGAATGGCTTCAGATAGACCTTGGTGAAGAAAAGAGAGTCCAGGGCATAATTGTCCAAGGAGGTAAACACAGAGAAAACAAGGTCTTCATGAGAAAATTTAAAATTGAATATAGCTACAATGGATCAGACTGGAAATGGATTATGGATGCCAGCAAAAAGAAAGCCAAGGTAAATTTGTAATCATCATGGCGAAGAACACAGTAAGTGCTATTTATCTCCAGGATTTTTGATCTGGATACAAAAGGCTCATTTTTTTGGTATCTCCAAATAAAGTAGCACACTAAAATGCTACAGAGCTGCTTCAGTTAATGTAGAAAATAGTGATAAGATAAGATAGTTTATAACTAGAAAACTTATATCCATGAACTAAAGCAACCTAGCTGTTGCCCTGCTTTTAAGCTAATCAGAAAAATGGTTAGTTCAAATGGTTTTATCTTAACTTACAGAAAGATAAAGGCTCTATTGAATCAAGCTTAATTTTTGGCAATTACAAGGATGTGTCTTAATATTTTCTTAGTCATATTATGGATATGGTTAGCCACTGCCATTTTGGAGAATGTTGCTATTGTTTTTATACTTTGTAGTGTAGTCTATAGCAGGGGTCCACAACCACCGGACCCCGGACCGGTACCGGTCCGTGGATCACTTTGTACCGGGCCGCAAAGAAATAACTATTCGCCTCTTTTTCTCAGCCGAAGCTGCTCCGAAACAACCAGAAACAAAGGCAGGCAGGCAGGCAGAACGGAGCACTGGATTGAACTGCGGGTGGCTGTGTGGGGGTGAACAGGTGCTTCAGAGGAGCTGTGCCGACAGGAAGCCACCCTGCCGGCTTCTTTGAAGCAGTTTCTTCCTGGGCTGGTGGAGGAGCGAGAGAGCGACTGAGAGAGGAACGAGGCAAACACCTGAGGGATGAGGCTGAGGAAGGCAGGGCCGAGAGGAGGGGCTTCTCAGCCATCCTGCAGGGACTTGTCCTGAGCTGCGGAGACAGCCGTGGGCTGCCACCGCCCAGCGCTCAGTTTTGAAGGCGCTCCTCAGCCAGGCGCAGTTCCTGAATCTGCAGCTGAAACTCTCCGTTTTAAATGTCCCAATAGAAGAGAATATCTGTCGCTCAGGGTTGCAATGAGGAGGCATTGGCGCTCCCTGAACTTGGTGGTTTGCTGGCAGACGTTTTATTACCCAACTAGGTAACAACATCAGATGTTATCTAGTCAGGTAATGAAACGTCTGCAAGCAAACCACCAAACTCGGACTCCCCCCCCCC